TGAGCGTCTTTTTCTGATGCTGGAAATCATGTAACTGCCAAACGAAATCGGCTGGTTAATTTTTAAAGCGTAATATATTTTTCATGATCATATATCGACGATCAACCACACATGAGTGCAGGGTTGGCCTATGATTCTTTATGCCCAGTGATAAACCATATGGACATTATAGAAAACCTGGTCATAGTCATAAAAAAGCATGTGACATAAAAGTAATAATCATCAAAAGTCAAGAAATACGTAAATTCTCAAGTCATGCCTTATCTATGACTGATAACTATATGCTTATATTAATCATGTTCAACCTTGCAAAAGTCACGGAATCTTTTAAACTAGAAATTTAGCTAATATTCAATTCCTCGTGGGTCTTCCTTCACTTTGTATACATGATTGAATTCTTTTCAGTAAACTTTCAATCAAATCAATATATATGCATCAGTTTGAATTTTGTTACATTCTTCATGCAATGTTAATTCTAAATAATGCTCTTAATTAATTACTAACAGTAAGAGGTTTTCATAATCCACCTATTTGACTACGTTGAAATTCTGGATTTTTTCTTATTATGAATCAATAAAACTTTGTTACACTCGACAAAAAATTGACTAACATATTTATAAGTCGATGTATTTATGTATTTATGTATTGGTGTACTTATTGATATGATTACGGTACGCATGATAATAAAAACATTCGATTGCACATGTAGCTGGAAAATGTGGGTGTTTTTTTTTAAAAAAATTTATTTGTAAAATATTGCAGAAACTAAGAAATCTATTCCGAAACTTTTACAAGGTGATTATGGGTCATATTGAAAATAGAATAAGCAGCCGAGCATCTTAGCTTCTATTTTCTACAGAAAAAAACTGAGGTCTAACAGGTAAGTACTACGGGCCAGTATGATGCAAATCCCGGAGGATGTCTATCGACCAAACAAGTTTGGCGTCTCTCATTCGGAAATAATTGCCTTAGTGATATTTATAACACATCTTTTCAGGATTTATAGGAAGATTATGGAATAGATATGACACAAGTAGAGGGTTTATCAATAATACTGCATGAGTTGTGATTATTTGCTAGAGCTACTTTGAAGTTTAACTACAGTAATAACAAGTTTCAGAACTTGAAATTACCTTTTTATAATAAAAGTCGCTGCGACGAAGTCGACAGCAGCAAACATAAAAACAACGAGCAATGACAACAGGAAGTTAGGCAGGAGTAAACAATAATGAGCTGCAAGAGATGAAACAGTAAAAATAGTGAATGAAGGTTCAAACAAGAATTTTTAATAGATTTTTCTATTTATATCGCTTATTTTTCACCTGAAAAACTAGCTATTGTCCCGTATTTCCTTTTGATTTTGTATTTGTACATTTATGATTCTAGACTTCACCCCTCTTACCTTTGTTTAATCATGCAGGAGATCAGTGTATAATTCAAAAATGATTGGTGCTATTCAGACAAAGGTATAGGAACTTACCTAGTAAACTCGCAATTTTCAAAACCAGCATACACGGATCGTCATCTTGTCGGTTGTCACCAATGAATGCGGTTTTATAATTTCAAATTCGTCGCGATCCTCTTGTGAAACAATACATACATGTAATAAAATTACGTTAGAATAGACTAAAAATAGGTGTCAAGTTTTTAAGCTAAATTATTCTGAATAAAATATAACAAAAATGTACATACACACATGTATTATTTATCAATCATATTTGACTTCTTTATACATGCATTTTTAATTTATAAAATAGAATTGTTCATGATTCATGTGAGTGCATCCCAATCATGTAGATACAGCGTTTCTAGTATGATAACATAAAAAATAAAAAAAAATACATCACATTCATGTGTGTCTGAAATATAATAATATCGATATAACTTGAATCCCAAATGATTTGTTAAATATTTGTGTATAAAATAGCATGAGATTTTTGGGAATACAAAGTCATTATAACAGGGTTAGAATCTTTGTTAGTCAGACTTCCCTAAAACAATTCTCCAAAGGACAGCCTACTGCAAAGATATTTTTCTAATAATAGAATTTATTCATAGAGTAGAACACACTCCATAGAACTTTCATTCAATTCTCCAAATTGTGTTCTTTTATGGAGATTTAACTGTATCTGCAAGCCTTGTTTCAGGTTGCTTACTTACTAGCTTGTTGGATTTGGAAAAATTATAATTATTAGTATTATAAATACAGATATATGCCTAAGGTGACTTATTTCATTTTTGTCGATCATCCAAAGTTGAAATTTTATTGGTAATCGATTTGACGATAAATACTATATCATTCATTACAGCGTGATTTAGGTTTATACTGTATCAAGAGAGTTGGCTAAAGCCTGGTGGACATGTGATGCAGTTCCTCAAATTTTCAGCGTGTAACGATTAATAATTTATAAGGTCAGAATATAAAGGAAGATTAGTCAGGGAAACAAGATCATGTGTGAAATTCATATCCTCACATATATTTCGAATTTTTTTGACGGATTGTTCAAAACATTTGTGCACCCTACACGTGTTTAGCCAACCCTAACCAATTGCGTGCCTATGGATTCTCAGAAATTTTCAAATCATGACAATATAAATACAATGCACACGGAAGTATCTATGGCATTGCATACAGTAAGCACCCTGGGTATTATTCAAAATAATCTTTAACCTTATATGGTACCACGCCGATAAGAGGAAAATACAAACAATCTTTACTGAACATGGGCACTCTCATGTTAGGCTCACAAAAGAACATGATTATAGAAACGTAAATCAAGAAGCATAAGTATTCATCCGAGTAATTTTCCATTTGTCGAAAATTTAATCATATATTAAAAAGAACGAATATATACTTATCGCATAGTATTATTATTTCATAAATGGCTAAAAAGTATATTTATTTAAGTTTGAACATCAAATTTCATTAGATCGCAACGAACAATACAAGATCTTTCGAAATGACAAACGATTTTTTATTTTAATTGCTAAAAATGATTTATTAATGGTTTCCTTTTTCTAAGTGCAGGTTTATTTATTGTTACTCTAGAAAGACGATATAATGTTAAATAAGGGAGGATTAATGTGATAGAGTCAGGTTTATGGTCTAAAACAAGAAAAATTTATTGATATTTCAGCTCTTTTTTTAACTTGCTTTCTTTGTTAAACTTACTTTATTATACATGTATTTATTTATGCATAAAATTAACGAACAAGATATCATCTTCGAAAAAGATAAGATCGCACCTATCATTTTAGACTGACATTATATTTCATTTTTTTTTATAACAATAAGTTCATTTTTAAAACAACGATTATACAGTATAACGCTTAGTGATTTACGTAGTTAATTAACAAATTAATATCACTAGAATTTTTGAAATTCAATTTAAATACTTCTATGGGATCTTTCTTTCTGTTGTGCACGTAGTAACAAATGATACTATAAATGGCGTGTAAATAATCATTTGTATTACGATAAGAACACCAAATTAAAAATTTTATTACATTTAAGTAATAAAGAAATCTTTAATACGACCAGGCTAATTACACGGGTAAAATAAAAATATTAAAAAGTTTGAGCTTATTTACATTACTAACTTTTTTTATCTATGAAATGAAAAAATAATCTTTTTAATTGTAACATGGGGATCTTTCAACAAAGAAAAATTGATTTGATGACTGAACTGCAAGGTTCGAAATATTATTGCCAAGTAATTCAATGTTGAAGGATCCTTCTAGTGGATCTAATTCGCAATCAGTGTTTGGAGTATAGTAAGGAAATTGTTCCTCAGAAGAAGAAAACTCGTTTACAAAATAAAAGTTTTCTAGTGCGTTCGAAAACGAATGGTTGTAAAAATAAGCGGACGATTCAGCGTTCATTTCTGTGAGCAAAAATTCATTATAAGTTGATTCCGCTACATTTTCATTTTGCTTTTCACAAGTGATGTCTTCTTTGGAGTCATTTGTCGAAGATGATTGTGATGACATATATGGCGGTCGAGCTTCGTGCTCAGGAGTTATTGGCGGCGTATTTTGAGAAGAATCATCGTATTTTTTGAAAACTTGGGGATCATCCATTGGCTGGTTCAGGTTTTTAATTTTTCCATCCGAATCAACACTATTCGGTTGTATTAGTACTTTTTGTTCTCCCGAAACACTTGAAACAACGGTTTCCAAGCAATGTTGATTTTTGAAATCAACCTTTTGGGAATTAAAGTTTCTTTTGTTCATGTTGAGATCAATCTCTTTAACATTAAATTCGGATATCATTGAATCGATCGATGGACAAAGTTCTTTTGATTGATGACGATCAACAAGCCTTTTGCTGCCCTTGTTTAGTTTAGTATTCAAATTCGGTCTTGGTTGAGTTAAATAACTTGATTTGATACGAGGACGAGCTACAACTCCTGCAGGTCTAGAAGAAGCTTTTATATGGCAATCGGTAATCAAATATGAATCCCATAAACCGTAATGACGCTCGTTCAATAGCTGTCCTGCTTCGTTGGCGATTTGAGTATATGCATCTTTAATCCAAGCCGGTTCGGATTTCCATCTTTTGGAAATAGCTAATGAAATTGCTCTCATAGGGAGAAATATACCTTTTGAATTTAATGTTTTAACAAATGCTTTACGATAAATCAAAAAATTATTTGGCGCCTTTGTTGGTGCTTTGCCGTCTTGTTTTGGAACTATTATTTCTTCTGCCGTAATTTCAGGAGGAAATGGCGGACTCATAGATTCTAGCGTGGCACTTAACAGATTTGATAATTCGGCATTATTTTTCATACTATTTATTTTTTTTTTCATTTCGACATTGCTAACTTGGTTACGATTCTCACACATATTGGCGTAAAGGTGGGGAAATGACATGAAAAGGTCTTGCCTTGGTTTTTTCGTGCCTTGGAAGACAATTTTGAGCAGAACAGAATAGAATTCTTTATAAAATTTTTCGCCGGAAGAAAATTATTTACCTTTTTAGGGGAGAACTAATTTATTTCGCATGTGATGTGTATATAATTTTACAGGAAACTATTTTTTTAGTGTACACGTCCAAGAAAATTCAAAAAAGGTCAACAAAACTTTGAGAAAAGGTTAACTGTATAATCTGCGCGAATTATTTTTTGAGTAGGAAAATAACCTAACTTGTAAATATTTATAACAATTATACGTATAATATATCGGCTTTTTATTCGTTGGATTTTTTTTAATAGGAATCCATCTATTTTGAATCTGTCAAAAATACTTACCCAAAGTTTACTAGCATAGTTTCTAAAAATATCCACTTGTGCTTGCATATTTATTTTTCTAACTATCGTTGGTTATCTATAACGATAACGATAAATTTTCTAACAATATTTGGTATAGTTTCGACTCTGTTCTAAATAACAACGAAAAATATTGTAATCAAAATAAATCTTTTGATTATGTAACAACAATGCACGTTGAAACCGTAATAGTAGTATTATATTAAAATTGAATGCATGCGCTTTGTGTCACTTCCAGATTTGAAACACCACCGATACTTGCATTGTCATTTTGAGCGATACCCGTCGGATAATCCCCGAATAACAAACAATAGAATTTTAATATGGTAGCAAGCTATCCCGGTCAAAAGTTATAAATTACAGGTCACAAACACAAATAAGAGATAGGTGAGAACGTCTAAACATCTGACCATGAAAATTTATAATTTTTGTCTACTTATTTGACTTAACGAGATATTTAGAAATAATTAGAAATAGAATCAAATGTAATCATGATAAACAATGCATCGCGCGGAATAAAAAATTGTTTGAAAGATTAATTCAGAAGCAGAAAATTCTAAACATTGCGAAATGAGTAAAAAAGGAAATCCATGAGGAAATTTTGATTTTCCCATGCAACTCATGCTTCATTGAAACACAATTTTTGGGTTAGAAAACATCCTCTTGAATGGATGCATGCAAATCCAATTTATTTATACCACATTCTTCCAGAAACACAAAGGCAAAGTTTCAAAATGCACCTTTATTGATAATAGCTCAAATACGATGAGTCAAACACATTGAAAGATTGTATTTTTTTTCTCTTTTACGTCTCTATTACCTCATGGTTTGACAAAGAACCTGTGATCCTTTCTTATTCTTTCTCTTGGCTAACATTTTTCGTATTGAATGAGAATAAAGGTTGACTTTTTTAAAACAGACAAAAGAGATCGATAAACAAAGTACATTCATGCGTAATGGAATTGATTATTGCGTGGACAAGGCTTTTAAGTTTCTATGCGAGCGTGTAACGAATTAATCATCCAAAATCATGCATTTTAGCCAAATATTTCAAATTGAATAATAAGTACATATAACAAAAAAAATCGAATCTTATAATACTCTACATACGTATAATAGTAATACATGTACATGCACATGTTCCAAAATTCTTATTTATACGCACTAAAAGAATTTGACTTTCTGCACGTTGGATCTGCGAGATTGCAGATCAATATATATTAATTGAGTCATAAATTTAATCAATATATATTATCGATATACGTATCTAGTCTTAATTGCTGAATTTCCTTGTCTTGCATATTACGTGATCTGATGTACAATAATGTGATGTTTATTGCGCTCCAGGGAAATTTCAACGTAATACTTTAAGGTTGCAAGTTTATAACAATACCCAATCTGACCCCAAGAAATTCTATGGCAATATGAAACAAGTTCGTGATTTAACGATAACAATAATTAAAAATTTATCTGCAAGTAATTGAAATTCACACGCCAAAAAGATTCAAATCATCTCGTGAAACTTTTTCTTTGGTAGGAAAGAACAATAGGTTTTTCGATCGATCTCTAGATATTATGCATTTTTTGTGGGAAATAGATTACCAAGAGCTTACTCGTTTTTTAATTGTTCATGCAATTGGTGCCTTCGTTTACGTTACTCATCTCTCCCTGTTTTGTTATATTTAGAAAACTCCTTTGTAAAAAGCCATCTGTCTTCAATTAAGGCCATTTTTAGTTAGATTCAGGTCTTATAATTGCCACTTTTCATTTAAAGCCTTCAGCCTTCGTACTAGATAAAGGATCGGTGCATTGATGTTTCAGATACTGTATAATTTTGTGTACTTTAAATATAGTTGGGAATTTCCGGTGCCTAAAAAATGTTAAGTCAAAGATATCTAAGATAATAAATAAATAAATAAACAAATAAACAGTATCTGTATATTATACTGTAATATACGGTATTTTTATGTCTTTGTGTGCCTTATGCAGAAATTGTTCCTGATAAGCAACCGGAGTAATGACATGTTCCTCCTTCCGTTTAGTTACTTTTTCAATCTTGTATTTAAGACAAACTTTCTATTAGGCGATCTTTTATTCTTTTTTTATTGGGTTGATTATTCATGCTTTAAATGAAAGGAGGTTAACAGGGGTAAATTCAAAATCCGATAAACTTAACAGTTGAATAATTGATCTTTTATAGAAAGATGGTATATCGTTATCCTTTTGGTTATTTACTAAATATTTTACCACAAAACCTGCAACAACCATAAATAATAGTATGTCATGTGGTTTTATTTTGTTAAGGTAATAATTCTTTGCCAATACCATTTAAATTATTCAATAATCTATTATTGTGAAGCAATTATTTTTAAAATATCTTATGCAAAGCAATTATTTTAGATACGTTATGCAAAGAAGAATGCAGGCACCGCCAAATAATCTTGCTCACTGGAATAATTTTTTATCATCAGCCTAACATATTCTATGACCGTTATTTCAGAAATAAGGAAAGAATTGCAAAACCAAAATAATAATTCATCGCATTCTAAGTGTATTCATTTTAAAAGCTTAATAGTAGTAAATATCTGCTTTGTGATTAAAGAACGGATGTTATTGTTTCTTAATTTCCTAAAAATTCGAACAATAAGGTTACATTCGCGATGTTTAATTTCAATATAACTCCTCCGGAATATCTTGAGAATTTAGCACAGTATATACTTACTGTGTGACAAAAATGCGTAAAATATCTGATACACGTACATGTAATTTCATATCTGATAGCAAAATGGATACTATAAAAGGTATATGGGCTGATTAATTTTAAATTTTTTTAAATTTTACAAACGCGCGAATTTCCTAATGGAGATAACCTGTGGCTTTTATTTCGGCCATGACTTTTTGATCATCACTGCATATCGATATTGGGATTCATTATAAAATTGTTGATTTGCCAGAAATCGATCGTCATTTTATTCTATAGTACATGTATTTTCAATATTCCCTATAAAGGAATGGCACGGAGTAAGAAAAAGACAATCGTTTAATAGAATTACAGATAATCTTGTGCTACTACCGGAAAAATCATCCCCCGCATTTCACCGCATAAAGTGACACCTTTTCTCTGCAAATGAATACAATACATTATGACCAAATTTCACGGTGCAATGTCTTCAAAAAATTTGTATTAAATTCATAGCCACCACAAGTAAAAAAAGATGATATACTAGTGGTTTTATTTGCTGAAATTCTATAAGAGTTCTGGATCTCCTAGTGGCCTCCTAGAGGAATTCTGATATTTCATAGAATAACATATGAAACATAATAAAATCGTTAGGAAATCGGGAATTCTTCTAGAGGTTTACCAAAAAAAAACTACTAACACCTTTAAATTAATGCTTGAATTCTTTCCAGAGGAGTGTTGATAGTACTCGGGAACTTTCATAACACACTGTGCTTGAATATTACCCAATACAGAATTATGCAAATATAACGGGTTATCACTCAACCGGGACAAAATCTATAGTAAATACATAGATGCTAGTCTACATTATCTTGAAATATTTGTTTCAAGCAAAAATAATTATGACTTTTTTTTATAGAAATATCAATCTTTAGTTCTGTCAGATTTTTTAAAGTTTAAGGACTTTACTTATTTATTTTTATAAGATAACCGAGTCAGTTGATTAATGCTTAGCAAAAAATGATTAATACTACCGAAAGGCAGGAACTTTATTAAATACAGTCAAAACTCTTTACAAGAACACATTTGGGAACAATCTAGTTCTTTTAAAGTGTTTGTACAGTAGCCACAGAAAGAAACGTCCGATTTGCGTGTGTAGTAACATAGACAAATATATACACTTTTTTGTTATTGTTGACCTAAGTTTTTTTTTCTTCTTTTACATTTAAACATGCGATTGACGAAATTTTGCTAAATGTAAATATGGTGATATCATACTCAGTTGATAAGGGAAAAATAGTAATTTTTATTTAAGTTTATGGGAAGAAAACTGCAAGAAAAAATGTGCCATAATCCGGGGTTAGTGTAATGGTCTCTTGCCAAGTACAAAAGAAATAGGTAAACGAAAATTTACCAGCCTGGAAGACCATAAGATCATAACAAATCAAGAAAAACACACATTAAAAGAATCGAAAAAGATAACCTGAGCCATTTTACGACATTAACAATAAACAAGCTGTGCAAAAGCTTACTAGAAGATTCTCAAAGTAATTTCGTCCTTTCATAACATAATATGTTCATAGAATGATATTACAGCAAAGTAGCTGAGAAAGAAGTCAACAAAATAGAAAAATTCAATGATTAGCATGCTCTTGAGACTCCAACTTCATAAAAATGTTTGCAAGTTATTGAAGAATAATATTCAAAGATTTCCAAGAATCATGAGAAAGTTCAGGACTACTCTAAAGAAAGCATGATCAAAATTTGATGTGTTGGTTTTTGAGAAGATTATAGACTACATGCCTTGAGAATTCAAAATAATATTAAAGCTATATAGCTAT